ACTTTCTTTCACTCCGGCCATTCCCACGATGTTTCAAAGTTTCAAAAATTGTACCGATTAAAAAGGATGAGGGATGCAATGATTTAACTAATTTTCGACCCGTTGCTCTTTTATCAAATTTTTCGAAAATAATAGAAAAAATAATGTACAAAAGGCTAAATACCTTCTTCAAAAAAAATTCCATAATTAACGATTCACAATTTGGATTTCGAGAGAAGTACTCGACTGAGCTGGCAATAATAGAATTGATCAGAAAAATAGGGATCGCAGCAGAAGACAAAAAATACATCGTAGGCACGTGCCTTGATCTCTCGAAGGCATTCGATTGCATCAACCACAACATCTTGCTGGCGAAACTAGACCATTATGGAATACGTGGCTCGCAACTGAAATGGTTCAGAAGTTACTTATCGGAGAGAAGTCAATTTGTTAGCTGGCAGGGTACATGCTCGAGCGAAAAATTAAACCAAATTGGAGTACCTCAGGGCAGTATTTTGGGTCCATTGCTATTCATTGTCTTCATCAACGATCTCCCGAAAGTTTCAACATTCTTTGATTACATTTGCTTCGCAGATGATACTAATCTATTCAGTACAGGCAAAAACATCGATGAACTCATCTTGAAGACTAATAGTAAAATTAAAAAGGTTGTCTCATGGTTTGAATGTAATATGTTGACATTGAATAGCAGAAAAACTCAAATGATTATTTTTGGCCCGGTCCAATATTTAAACTACAAGGAGCCATATAAGATTGTAATAAATAATTCGGATATTCTGGAAAGCAAAACTGTTAAATTTTTAGGAGTAATATTGGATCAAAAATTATCGTTTCAACAACATGTTCAATATGTTTGCACAAAACTAGCAAGATCAATTGGTCTATTAAATAAAATAAAATTTTTCTTGCCTAAAAGAATTCTTAACATGCTATATAAAGCCATCTGTACTCCATATATCTCATACTGCAATACAGTCTGGTCAAGCGCCTATCCAACTACAACAAATCCAATAAGAATAATCATGAAGAGAGCCATGCGAACAATCACACTTTTTAAAGCTCAATCCCATTCACAACCGCTATTCGCCACGACAAGCAATCTGACTTTCGATCAAATGAGTACATATCACGCGGCAAAATTCATCGACAAACAATTGACTGGTAAACTACCTCCTATTTTTGACGGTTATTATAAACGAACGAAGAATCAAAGGCGCATCAATTTCATCTGTTCCAACAAATCAAAAACGAAAATTTTACATCAACACATCATTTGCAGAAGACCCAGAATTTGGAATTTTTTATTAAATAAAGGATTTAATTATGACAGATCGAACATGCAGAACTTTAATTATCATTTGAAAGCATTTATTAGTTTGATTAATTAAAATCACTAGTTTTAAGAATATAAATTACATTTTTATAAAATGTTTATGACATCATGTAAGCGCAACTGTATGTATGTGCTGACGTGTACGTAGATATTTTTATATACGTATGTGATCCTATTCTCTTCTATCTATAGCTTATATAGATAGATTCAATCAGGTATTCTATATGCAGTTTTGTATATAGAGAAATATAGACCTAACTTATTATTAGGATCAATTAGTAACATCTCAAAGCTAATACATTCCATTTAGAGAATCTGAAGTTTTTTGTGGTGCACGATGATAATATTTTTATGAACAGTTAGTAACACCGTAAACATAATATACACCAATTAGAGAATCTGAAGTTTTTTGTGGTACTCGATAATTTTATTTTTACGAACAACTAGTAACAACGTGAACTTAATATATAACATTTAGAGATTCTGAAGCTTTTTGTTTGATGGGTGTGCCCGATGATTTTATTTTTGTAATCAATTAGTAACATCTGAAGTTTTTGGCTTAGGTGGCTGTGCTCGATGAGTTTTATACTAACTCCTCACAGTCAACCTGCACCTTATTTTCTTTATTGA